CATTTCCGGTCTCAAGAATTTTGGGTAAAAAATTCTCAACCTCTATTAGCTTTAGAAGTTAGGTAGTCATATTGAAATGAATAAACTTTTGCTGCTGAATTGTATTCAAAGTATAATTATTCAATCTTTAGGATATTTCAGGAAAAGCTAGTTGCTGATGCATTTTTTACAAGTTATCAATCTTTTGCATATTATTTAAAGCCACAATATATTTTTAGTTTGTAAGAGTTTTTTTAAAAATAATGTTACCTGATACAAGTCCTACTAATTCACCCTTGACTGGGGGCGGAGAAGAGGTAGATTCATATCTTTTCGAATGGTATCTTCGCGTAAGTGGATATAACGAACCCGACTGGAATTGGAACTCTGCTCTCCGATTTCGATTACATCACTGGCATATACAAGCTTAGAGCATTTGATATTTCCAAGCGGTCACCTATCTAGATACTGACCAGGTTCGACAATACTTAACTTCGGTGATCGTACGAGAAACAGTTTTCAACGTAATATGGTAGTCGTTTAGAATACTTTAAATCACTTTCTTTAAAAAAAGAAAAGCAAATTTTTTCTTGCATTGTTAAAAATCTTAATACTAAACATATCACTGAAAGTAACATCTTAGTAGTAAAATTATAACAAATAATATTGGTAAATAGAACAGAAAAGAAACAAATATCTAACAATTAAAATTAGGTACCTCCATAAAAACATGATACCTTAGGTTTAAGATTAATTTTTAAAAATTAAAAAAATTCTTTAATCTTTTATTTTACTTTTAATTCCAAGCTAATAGATTAAATTCAATATTTCCAATAAACAAAATAATTTGCTGTATTTCAAAAAATAATCTAAAAGGATTTAAAGGATTTTTTTGTTAAAATAGCTGATTAGCATCGTTTTTTAGTCACCTTTCATCGTAATATAACTCTCTTCATTAAAAAAGCTTCCAAAAATTAAATATATTTTTCTGAAATTTTATTTGAGCTGATTCAAAGTATACTTAATCTGATTTGAAACAAATATTATTTACTTTAATTTGAAAATATCACAGAAATGCTTTTTTTAACCAGACAGTAGCTGTATTGATATGTTGATAGCGTGATGACAAGTCTAATATTGTTCTACGGAGACTTTATCTGTAAAACGTAATTGAAGAAAATGTACCTTTTTTTCTTTTATAATTTTCAAGTATTCAGTAATCTTAAAAATTTAGGAAAATATTTCCATCATCTAATGTTTTACTGAATTTTAGAAATTTTGACTTTAAATTTACAATATTTATCGATTTTCTGATAATGTCACGTATGGTCGCCCATACTTATTTAGAGCAAGGATAGATTTACATTGTAAATCTATCCCTGCTATAAATAGTTTTTGTAAAATCTTTAGTAATATTGAAAATGCTTTATTTGTTGCAGTATTTACAGTTTTTATTCTTTTTTAATAGTAAATCCATTACAATAACTCCCAATATATATTTCAATATTTAATAAAATTCTTTTTGATATTTCGTAATACCTATTTCAATATTTCATGATATTCATTTCAATATTTCGTGATATCCATTTAAATATTTCGTAATATCCATTTAAATATTTCGTAACATCCATTTCAATATTTCGTGATATCCATTTAAATATTTCGTAATATCCATTTCAATATTTCGTAATATCCATTTCCATATTTCATGATATCCATTTAAATATTTCATGATATCTATTTCAATATTTCGTAATATCCATTTCAATATTTTGTGATATACATTTAAATATTTCGTAATATCTAATTGAATATTTCGTATCCATTTCAATATATTATCACTGTCACTTCAATAGTTTGAAATATTCATTTGAGTCTGCTATAATATTCATTTCAGCATTTTGAATATCCATTTTAACATTTTGTAATATCCTTTTCAATATTTCATAATATCCATTTCACTATTACATAATATCCATTTTAATATTTCATAATATGCATTCCATTAGTTTACAATATCCATTCCAATACGCTATAATATTCATTTCAATATTTGTAGTATCCATTTCAGTATTTCACTATAGTCATTTCAATGTTTATAATATTCTTTTGCACATGACACAATAACGATTACAATATTCATTTTAATATTTCATAATATTTTAAAACATTGTAATATCCATTTAACTATTACGCATTATCCTCTTAAATATTTCACAGTATCCACCAGAATATTTTATATTCAATTCAATATTTTATAGTATCCATTCCAACATTTCACAATAACAGATCCAATACTTCACTATATCCATTTCAATGTTTCATATCCACTTTAATAATTCGCATTATCTCCTTCAATATTTCATAATATGCATTTCAATATTTCATTATATTTTTTCAATATTTCATAATCTGCATTTCAATATTTCATAATATTAATTTCAATATTTCATAATATATTTTTCAATATTTTATAATATACATCTCAATATTTCATAATATCCATTTCAATATTTCATAA